TTTTTATGGATACCAGTCACCTGGCCTCTACTTGTCTTCAGGCCAAGTACCCATTACAACCACCCACAGATTTCTTTGAAATTCCTGGATTCACTCATTCAGTAATCAGCATTGAGTGGCACTGTACTAGGCACTGGATGAAGACAAAGTAATTGAAATGTAGATTCCTCTGGGCTCAGCAGCCTTTTAGCAGAGCCTAGAGGGTGGAGTAAGTTGTTGAGAATATGAAAGCAAATGTAGTCAGCCTTACCCTAAGGAATGTCAGGAAAGGACTTACAGAACTTTTAAGATCATGTTTGCAACTTTTCTGGTTGTATGAAACTTTAAGAACTTAAGAACATATACTGTAAAAACAAATAGGAAGGGGAAAAGCAAAAGAGCAGCAGATCATTTCAATAGATGAGTTTAAGAGGCAACTTAGACAAGTTGTATCTATGTTAGAACACAAGGAGAATTTCAACAAAGTTTAAATTTTAAAAAAGCCAAACTTCCAGAATTCCCCATCAGTTCTCTTCAGACAATAACCGAGTTGAAGAAGAAATATAAACTATGATTCCATGATTTTTAGAAAACAACAGTTAGGTTCAGAGTTGCCTGACACAGAGAGAGAGAGGATTTTAGTTTGCTTTACCCAACTTAAACAGTGAATAATGTGACCTAACCTATTTACAGGAGGAAATCTTAACCAAAGAGAGGAACAGTAAACAAATCATAAACTCTTCTAGAAGTTTGGACAAAAGCACCAAAAATTCTAGAATCCCAGGGGGAAAACCTGTGTGGGATCACAGGTTAGTCAGATGTCAGTGTGACACTGCCAGATGCTGCAGGGAAGCAGTCAGCCAGACACTTCCTCGCTGGCACTGACAGGTGTGTGAGAGCCCAGGGTGGAGGAGGGGAAGGAGGGCAGCAGATAATCATAAATACAAAAACAATAAAATGATGAAGAAATATTTAGTATCTCCAGTAGACTGCTTAAGAGTACCTGCCCTCCACTCTGTTTCCCATTCAATGATTTTTTTCCCCGTCTCTCCCCATTCCTTGTAGACAGCTTTAAATTATTTTTGCCTCAGCTGGAGTCTAGAATTCTGCTCCACGCATTGGCATTCAGTGGCTGCCACCAAATGAAACATGCAGGAATTGCCAAGAATCCTACCCTGTAAAGCTATTGTGAAGCCAACACCGTACCAGGATACCTACACACTGTCGTTTGCCTTCCACTTAGAAACAATAGATTCTAGAAGACGACCGCTAAAGGCAGTGTAGAAGCCTCAGGCCATGTGCCATCGTCTTAGGTTGAAAAGTCAGATATACCGAGAGGAGCAGAGATAGAGAGGAAGATCTTTCATCCAATGATTCACTCCCCAAGTGAGCGCAATGGCTGGTGCTGTGCCAATCCAAAGCCAGGAGCCAGGAACTTCTTTCAGGTCTCCCACACAGGTGCAGGGTCTCAAGGCCTTGGGCCATCCTCAACTGCTTTCCCAGGCCACAAGCAGGGAGCTGGATGGGAAGTGGAGTTGCTGGGATTAGAACCAGTGTCCATATGGGATCCCAGCGTGTTCAAAGCAAGGACTTTAGCCACTAGGCCATACTGCCGGGCCCCTCTCACTGACTTCTGACCAAGCCGTGGAGCTCCGTGAGCATTGGATCTCCCAGGATTGGATGTCCTGGAGAAGTTGGGGTGGTGAGGCAGGTGACAGGTGAGGATCCATTCAGGGAGGCACTGTATCCAGGAGAGTTTCTGTGTTGTCTTGGACAGCTTTGCCAAAGGTCTTTTGGCTGATGACTGTAGATGGTCTCTTTGCTGTGGAGGCAAATAAACGGTACAACAGTAAGGGTAGAAGCATCGAGAACAAAATGAAAGCTGGTACAGTGGGCAGTAGGGGCTTGGTAGCTAGTGTAGTGCAGACTGTTTTAATCTAAAATACATGTTGAAGACAGAAGGAACACAAATTTGCTGATTTTTTTTCTTTTTAGTTATTTTTATTTGAAAGATATGCAGAGACAAGGAGAGACAGAGAGGAACATCTTACATCTGCCGATTCACTCCGCAAGTGGCTGCAACAGCCAGAACTGAGCCAGTCCGAAGCCAAGAGCCAGGAGCGTCTTCTGAGTGTCCGACATGGGTGCAAAATTCCAGGCTTTGCGCCGTCCTCAACTGCTTTCCCAGGCCACAAGCAGGGAGCTAGATGGGAAGCCAAGCTACTGGGATTAGAAGTAGTACCCTTGCATATTCAAGGTGAGAACTTTTAGCCGCTCGGCTACCACACCGGCCCGAATTTGCTGATCTGGGCAGTGTGATGTGAGAGTGAGGAGTCCAGCAGAGCTGGAAGGTCTTTGGCCTGGGCGATGGATGGAATAGCAGAGCCGGCTTCCTGGAGGAAGTCGGGGGATTAGCTAGGAGCCTGCTGCCATTATCTTGGAAAGGCTGGGTGGAGACATTCAGGCCACAAGCTTGAGGGCCCTTTATAAAGTCAGGAACTGCTTCACAGTGGAACAGAGGAAGAGGGTTGTTTACTAAAATTGAAGGTACCTCTCCTTTCTCCCCAGTAACTCCACTTACTGGTATATGGAGATATTTCAAAAAAGAATTAAAACTTAAGTTTTATTTTCCTACAAATATTGATATTCATGCAAGGGGGGGGGGTCTTTGTAAAGCTCATGGAAAAAAGATACCTTAAAAAAATGCACGGATTTCAATCTCTTCTTGAATTGAAACAGGTATTTCCTCATCCCATTTTCCGCAAACATGTTTTTTTTAAATATTTACTTATTTTTATTGGAAAGGCAGATTTTATAGAGAGAAGGATCTTCTGTCTGATAGTTCACTCCCTAAATGGTTGCAACAGCCACAGCTGAGCTGATATGAAGCCGGGAACCAGGAGCTTCTTCCTGGTTTCCCACATCGGTACAGGATTTTTGACTTTAGGGAAACTTACAGAACACAGTTATTATTTTTTTTTAAAGATTTATTTTTATTATTTTTTCATTGGAAAGGCGGATATACAGAGAGGAGAGACAGAGAGGAAGATCTTCCGTCCGATGATTCACTCCCCAAGTCAGCGCAACGGCCGATACTATGCCGATCCGAAGCCAGGAACTTCTTTCAGGTCTCCCACACGGGTGCAGGGTCCCAAAGCTTTGGGCCGTCCTCGACTGCTTTCCCGGGCCACAGGCAGGGAGCTGGAAGGGAAGCGGGGCTGCCGGGATTAGAACTAGCGCCCATATGGGATCCCGGGCGTGCAAGGCGAGGACCTTTAACCACTTGCGCCACCGCGCCGGGCCCAGAACACAGTTATTATTGATAGTCCCCTAGTATCACCAGCAACAGTAGTCACGTCATCTGGGGGAACTTGTAAGAAATGCAGACTCCCAGGCCCCCACCATGCAGAATCAGAAATGTAGAGGCGAGCCCACAGCGGGAATTTGTTTTATCAAAGCCTACGGGGTGACTCTGACGCCAAGGTCCAGGAGGCTCCGTGCCCAGTGAAGCCCCTTGGCAAGAGTGGAGAGCCCAGGAGCCCAGCAGTGTTAGGCGGGGCGGCGGGGGAGTCAACCGCGGCATTTATTACAACGGGGATATTCCCTAAGTCATGGTGTACAGGCCGACTGAATCGGAACTCCGCATATGTTAGATGGGTAACTCGCGGTAAACACGGCTCCTTCCCAGCCTGTTCCCCATCTGCAAAGGGGGCATACGATAGTAAACGGCCCACAGGCTTCAGTCATAAAGTCCGTTAGAAGGGTGCCCTGCCCCGTGAACAGGGAGTGAACCAGCGGTACTGCATATCTGTGTCACCATCTCTTGGTCTGTCTTAGAGTGCCTGACACACAAATATTGAACAGTAATCTGTCTGTATTATGATGCTGTAAGAGAAAAAAAAAGTTTTTATCATCTAACTGTGATGATCTAGCTGTTTATTATGTACATAACAAATTAAGGAATCTAACCTAAACACGGAGTCGACTTCTGAGGCCCACCTTGGTTGCCTCTCGAATCTATCACACATATAAAAATACATGAAAAACTGCTTTACAGGACTGTGAGCCCCAGTACTTAGGCAAGAAAAGGGTTTTGTACCAGTTCCTCAAACCTTCATTTCCAAAGCTCAAACCCAGAGTGCTCCAGGTCTGATGCGGGGTGGGGGGTCGGGTATCCGCAGAACTGAGTTCCCTGGACTGGATGATTTGGGCCTTCCCTGAATGAAGGTCACCAGAACGGCGTTCCCCAGGTATGCCCGCGGGACATCTGGACCACAGTTGTAAAACAGGACTGCAACCTGCATTTCCCAGAATTTCAAGCTTGGTAGCCTCAGCATGTGAAATGCTAAGAATGTACGCAACAATGCCTTTAAAAAGACACGCAAAGAATGGCTCTGCCCCGTTCCAGAGTCCACGTCCCAGTTTTCTGCACCCCCGGGGCCTCGCGCTCAGGACTGCCCGTTAATACCTACTGCACGGAGCCACTGGGCTGAGGATGACCCCGGCGGGGCGTACAACTACTCCATCCATTTCTTCAGGTGCGTTAATAAACAACTCGGGCAGGCTGGTCATGCAAACAGCCCGGCCACAACTGGCTGGCATTGGATGCCAGGACAACAAGCAACCAGCGGACACCTTATCTCCCCCCCTCCCCCCAGACGTCAGTAATCAAAAAGGAACAGAGACGGGTCCGCGGGCTGCACAGCGCCGCTGGGCTGATGCGCGAGGAGGAAGCGGGGCGGTGAGGCCGGGGCCTCGGGGCAGCAGCAGAAAGGCGGCCTCCTTGTGACGTCAAATCAGCGGACTCTCAGCACGGCTGGAGGCCGGTTCCGGTTCCCCGGCTTTCCGGGCGCGGAGCGTACTGCGCGTGCTCCGCCGAGGGACGCGAGGAGGTTGGGTCCGGCCGGCGCAGGACATGCGCTGATTGGCTGGCGCCGTGCTGGGGGGTTCCCCGGCCCTGCCGGCAGGGGTAAAACAATAAAGAGGAGGCGGCGGCAGAGGGGGCGGGCCGTCGGTGTGCCGAGTCGCTGCGCCAGGCGCCCGGGAAGAGCGGCTTGGGCAGGAAGCGCGCCCGCGGCTCCCCTGCTTTTCCGAGGCTACGTGGGTCTTATCGGAGGGAGGAGGAGGCGGCGAGCGTCCAGAATCGGCTGCAGCCGGGCCTCGGCGACTGGCCTGCCGCTGACCTCCGCGCGACGTCCCCGCCGCCGCTGTTGGTTGGAGGTGTGTACGGGGGCCCGGAGGGGTGGTCGCCAGGGAACCTCCTCGCGGCTCGAGCGCCGGGGTCGGGAGTGCGGCGGCGACGGACATTGTTCTCGCCGGCTGCGTCCGGTCGCCGTGTGTGCCTGAGAGGAGCCGGACCCTTCCCCTTCCCGGGTGAGGGATGGCGAGGCCGCGTGGGAAGGGAGGTGACCGGCGCGCGCGCGCGCGGGGTTGGGCCGGGGGCTGCGTGCGAGGGCACAGGTGCGACTGGCTGAGCCGGGCCGGGGATGGGGCGAGCGGGGGCACTCCGCAGCGCCCCGGGGCTGCCTGCGGGGATCGTGCTGGAGGGCGGACGGGGTGGACACCGGCCTCTCCCGCGGCTCCGGTCCCCACCTCCCACCCCTGGTTGCTTCGGAGCGGGGACGCGGTCGCCGCCCCGCCCGTGGGGGAGGGGAAGGAGGCTGTGTCGGCGGAGGAGGCAGAGGCGACGCAGACGCCAAAGTAGCGGCCTCCGGGCACCATTTCTGTGTGCGGAAACAGAACATGGGTTTGAAGGCAGCGGCCGCCGGGGTTTAACCGGCGCCTTGGGCACCCTTCCTCCCGGCTTGGGTTTACGGATCCTGGGGCTGTAACGAGCGCCTCATCAGCCGTTTTGATGCATCAAGTCCCTTATGGATCTAGGCATAGTAAATGTTGGAGGGCCTTGCGGAATGGAATTCTCCCTCCCTCCACACGTGTGTGTGTGTGCAGGAACGCGGGACTGGTGGAATCGTCGGGTTCTCTAGATTTTTGTTGATATTTTTATTTAGTCAGATCTGATCAGATTTCTCCTGCGTTTCCAAATGCCGGTTTCTTAGCTCTATGCAGGGAATACAGATTTGCGTCTAAAATTTTCCGCATAGATCGCCCCCACCCCCCAGTTTTGCCTAATGTTTTAACGGACTTTGCAAGGATGTGCCTTTGCTCTTAACAGTGAACCTGGAATGGGAGAACTGGCTCACTCTCCCCGGGGTATGATTGTTGATACTAACTTGGGTCAAGATGCCGATTTTAGGTTCCATTCAACCCTCACAGTAGTTTTCCAAGCATTATTGTTGCAGGTACCTGGAACTAGGAAACCTTAACTGCAGCTAAGGGTGCCAATGAGCCAGAGGGAAGATGATGGCAGTTCCTTGTCCAACTCCTTATTTGGCAGTTAGTATAGCCTTAGGCATGTGAACAAAGTTTCTAAGTAAACACTTGGCTCTGTTAGTATCCAGTGGTCCTTTTGAAATCCAGGAGTCTTAAGACCAGAAGATAGGATCAGTTTGAACCTCTTAGGGTTGAGTTATGTGATGGTTTTGTGTGTGTGTGTGTGTGTGTGTGTGTGTGTGTGTGTGTGTTACCTTTTACTTGCTATATTTTTTGGGATGGTCATGTATCTTGATGTTATGATATAATCTTAAGAAGCTGTTTAATTCTGAGACATTATCGAGAGTTGTGGGGAAGAATGAAGTGCCCGAGAGTGGTCATGGTTCGGGTAGCTCTGTCTTCACGGCTTCTGTGTTAGAGATGGCAAACTAGCGTGCATCGTGGAGTGGAGCAGAGAAGGCTTGGAGTTGTTGGAGATCAGGGCTGGGTCAAAAAAGAAACAAGCCCTGTGATTTTTTTAATATTAGTTATTAAAAATTTATAAATACTAATAATATCTAGATTCTGAGCAGCTTCCTTATTCTTTAGAATTGTTGCTATTACCCACCCCACTAATCAGGGTTAAAGTCCTCACTTTGCACACGCCAGGGTCCCATGTGCACCAGTTCTAATCCATGTGGCCCTGCTTCCCATCCAGCACCCTGCTTGTGGCTTAGGAAAGTAATTGAGGATGGACCAAAGCCTTGGGACCCTGCACCCACATGGGAGACCAGGAAGAGGCTCCAGGCTCCTGGCTTCGCATTGGCTCAGCTCCAGTCATTGCAGCCACTTGGGGAGTGAATCAGCAGACCTGGAATTTCTTCCTCTCTGTATATCTGAGTTTCCAATAAAAAATAAATAAATCTTTTTTAAAAGGAAGCCCCCCACACATTTTCTTTTGTTGAATGAGTATGAAAATAGTGGATGGCTTCCTTTTAATGCTTATTTTGAAGCTTAAGACCTTAAATTCAGTACAGTTAAGTCAACAAGTGGAAGTTACTCTTATTGATGGACACTAGTAGCTAGTGGAGTAATTTGGTTCATATCCTGGAACCTTGGCCTGGCCTCAGTGGGAGTGGAATCTTTTTTACTGCTGTTTTTCAGCATATTTTTTTGCTTCTTGGTACCAAGTATTTCACCCCGATTTGGTTCCATAGTTGAGAATGGCCAGAAGAAATGTATTGTAGTGTTTTTTTCCTTCCAACAGTTTCACATAAAATAACAATTGGGTAATTTTTATTTGTATTTTTCTTTGACCTTTTGAAGCAGATGTTCTTAACTATGAGTAAGGAAAAAATAGACCTGATTTCCAGTCCTCTTTTCTACGGCTGTATCCAAGGTTCTCTGAACTCCTTTCCTCAGACTGGCTTAACATCACTTCTCTCTGCTGTAGATGAAGTTAATACTCTATTTCAAGAGGATGAACATGCAGATTACTTGTTCAGCTTAAAGTGTGTATTGTACATGCATGTCTTTTATTTTTGTGGGACAGCATTTTCCTTTGTTAATGCTTGGCCGCTTTGCATAGTTTCTGAACTTCCGAACTTATCACCACTGGGCCTGAGAAGAGACCTAACACATATGTTGGATTTGTTACTTATTTCTACCACTCTGGTTCCTGCATCTCCCTTGTGGAGCTTTCCTTCATGGTTTGCCACAACAGGTTTAAGGTCACTGCTCTGAAAAGATACATTGTTGTTCTGGTTATTAAAATCACTTTTCTGGAATATTGGAAAGTTGTAGTGTTGATAATAAATGGCATCAGTGGTTGGAAATGCCAATAGCTCAGTGAGAATAGACCTGCACCTGTGCCTGGCTGCTAGTAAGTAACACTGACTGAGGGGCTCAAGAGGGATACAGGAGTAAGAAAATATCCTCTGTGGAGGTGAACCTGGCATGGCACAGCATGGTTCCTGCATTGAAGTGGCTGTGGAAGAATTAACTTCACAGCAGTTTGCAATGAGTGAGGCTTTTTAAATGAGTTTTGGTGCTTACACAGGTTGGATGTCCCATATCCGTATCCAAGGTGCTTGGCACTGAAGTATTCCCAAGTCTGTCTGATTTTGGAGTATTTATGTTACTGGTTGAGCATCCTTAATCCAAAATGGTCCAGAATAGAAACAGAAAAAAATTTCAGAGCATTTCTAGTCTCTCAGTGGATTCAGCATATTCATCCAGTGTGCTGTGGTGGTTTTAGGCATGTGCTTAAAATCATGTCTGAAAATGGATTTTTTTTTCTGTAGATTTTATCATTTAATCATTATGTGGATAAATGGAGAAAAGTTTCAAAAAGGTTGAAAGATGTCATGTCAGTAATTTCTGAAATTAATGGTAATTGATTTGAAATTAATAAGAATATGGGATTCTTGATCTTAAGTTTTATTCTTTTGTTCACATTGTGTATGTTGCCTTTACCTAAGTGAAATCACACCTTGGGTTGTATATTCTGATGTTTTATGTATTTGCTTTTGGGTCTGTCAAGTAAGTTTAATTTTATTACTCTTTAGACAGATAACTGGTTTTTATTCTAGCATATTTTGTGTGTCTATGTGTTTACGAGGTTTTTTAGATACCACATTAAGAAAATTGTTTCCTTATTTGTGTACTCATTCATTCATTTGCAAAACAGTCACAGAGAATAGTAGAGACTTCACTGCCTAAATGGCAGCTGCTGCTGAAGTTGGGCCAGCTAGAAACCAAGTTTCTTCATGTCTCGCACTCGATGACACAGGCCCACATACTTGGATTGTCTGTATATATTGTGAATAATATAGACACAATGACAACCATTTGGAGAGTGAACCAGTGGACAGAAGATCTTTCTGTCTGTCTCTCTCTGTAAATCTGCCTTTCCAGTAAAAATAACAAATCTTTTGAAATTAAACCTGTGCCCTTAAAGGATGCCAGTGACACAGCTGCCCAACATCGCATTGTGCATTTGCTTTGTTTTTTTAACTAGATATTTAGCAAGTATTTCAGTATCAGTTCATTGCTTACATTTAAGCACATTTGGTCTTTAATATTTAAGTAATATTTTGTCACAAATATTGTGACTAAAATAGACAAAATGACAATTATTTTTCAATTTTTGTTAGCTGGGGTAAGTTTAAAAGACTTGTTTATTTTCATTTAGAAGGTAGATTTTTACAGAGAGGTCCTGTATCCACTGGAGTTCACTCCCCAAATGGCCAAAGTGGCCAGAGTTGAGCTAATCTAAAGTTGGGAGCCTTTGAGGTGTCAGGAACCCAGCTGTACTGAAGGCTGTGTGTTAGCAGGAAGCAGGAAAAGGAAGTGGGGCTGAGGCTCAAACCCACACACTCCAGGGGGGTTGTAGATACCCATGGGTCGTGCCAGAACGCTCCCGTTATTGTAGAGCCCTACTTCCTGTAGTAGCGTTGATCTATTAGATGGTTATCAGAAAGTGAAAATTGGAAAGTATTGTTTTGAAAGTTAAAGAGTTAATACATTATGGCCTTTGTAACAATCATACAATGTAGGAAGGATTGTATACCCTCACTGGAATATTTATTTATATTATACCTCTAAGATTCTTAATATTGCTTTACACTTTGTGGCTGATGGCTTGTGAAATTCTTGTCTGTTTATAATTTTTTAGTTTCCCTTTTTAAGATTTATTTATTTCCATTGCAAAGTCAAATAAATATAGAGAGGAGAGGCAGAGAGGAAGAACCTCCATCCAACGATTCACTCCTCAAGTGACTGTTGGAATGGCAAAGCTGACAGGGAAAGTCACTTAATGAATTTCAAGACAAACTGTTGATTATACTGGGTCATGTGTACATGTAAGACACTTGTATAAATTGACCTACAGCTGAATAGTTGGAACTGCCAGGACAGCAGTGTGAACCTGGAGGACATTTGAAGGGAGGGGAAATTACATTGTCATAGAACACTGGAAAAAAGTGGAGGTGCTCAGCAGTAATAATGCAGATAGCTGAAGATCATTGGATTGTTGAACTGTGAGTTTTTTGAGAACTTTATTCAAGGTATACCTAAGTTAACTAAGACTGGAGTTGTGAAGAGAAAAATGCAAACATATAGTTAGTAACTGGGGACAGAATATGATTAGTAAAGTGCCATGACAGAGGCTCAGAGACTTAAAGAGAGTTTAAGCAAAGTAGAATTATGCATTATGTTTTTTATTTTATAACGATGTATTTTTATTGGAAAGTCATATACAGAGGAGAGACAGACAGGAAGATGTTCCATCTGTTGATTCACTCCCCATGTGGCTGCACCAATCTAGTGCAATAGCCTATGGTTAAATTCCTTGACTTGCACACCGGGAACCCACATAGGCACTGGTTCTAATCCCGGCAGCCCTGCTCCCCATCCAGCTCCCTGCTTGTGGCCTGGGAAGGCAGTGGAGGATGGCTCAAGGCCTTGGGACCCTGTAACCGCATGGGTGCCCCAGAAGAGGCTCTGGGCTCCTGGCTTCAGATTGGTACAACTCCGGTCGTGCAGCCACATGGGGAATGAATCAAAGGATCTGGAAGATCTTCCTCTCTTATCTTTCTTCCTCTCTGTATGTCTGATTTTGCAATAAAATTAAATAAATCTTTACAAAAAGATGGTGACATCTTCAGAAAACATGGTGACAGTTGATATAGAGCCAGCTCAGTGAGAGCTGGAGTAGATGTGCTTCAGGATTTAGTTTAGGCAAATGGGGAAGCATAAAAAAATAAGAAATAAAAGCTAATGTTGGGCCCGGCACGGTGGCGCAAGTGGTTAAAGGTCCTCGCCTTGCACGCCCGGGATCCCATATGGGCGCCAGTTCTAATCCCGGCAGCCCCGCTTCCCTTCCAGCTCCCTGCCTGTGGCCTGGGAAAGCAGTCGAGGACGACCCAAAGCTTTGGGACCCTGCACCTGTGTGGGAGACCCGGAAGAGGCTCCTGGCTTCGGATCGGCATAGTATCGGCCCGTTGCGCTCACTTGGGGAGTGAATCATCGGACGGAAGATCTTCCTCTCTGTCTCTCCTCTCTCTGTATATCCGCCTTTCCAATGAAAAAATAATAAAAATAAATCTTTAAAAAAAAAAAAAGCTAGTGTTTATCAAAACTCCAGTGAGTTTCAGAAGGATGGACAGAGTTTGAGAATAAGATAAATGGTTGAGGCAATGTGAAGTAGGGGAAGAGTATACTTAAGCTGGGATCTGGATAAATATTGATCATGTTATTTAAGTGACACAAGTTTGTTTTTGAAGAACCTGTGTATTGAGAGCTGAGATGCCACGGAAAATTTTTAGCACTGTATTTCTGCGTAACGGTCATTTCGCTGTTTTCACTAGTAGAAGTCACTAGAAAAATAGTATTTTGTAGAGAATTTTATTTTCCTGTAGAAAAATAGTAGGTGATAGTTGCTCTTCTCTTTGAGGGTTGTAGAGACTAACCTTTTTTTTTTTTAAGGCATATTTATTTTTATTGCAAAGTCAGATATACAGAGAGGAAGAGGAGAGACGAAGGGGGAAGATCTTGCATCTGATGATTCTCTCCCCAAGTGGCCACAATGGCCAGTGCTGAGCTGATCCGAAGCCAGGAGCCTGGATCCTCATGGTACTCCCTCATGGCTGCAGGGTCCCAAGGTTTTGGGCCGTCCTTGACTGCCTTACCAGGCCACAAGCAGGGAGCTGGATGGGAAGGGGAATAGGAAGCTGTACCCATATGGGAGTCCAGTACATTTATCCACTAGGCTTCATCTCTGGGCCCGACTAACCATATTTCTAAAGATTGTTTTTGTACATAAGTGATTGTGTGGAACCAGATGGTAGACTTAGTTTCTAAATTAATAAATTGATATTTGGAAAGACTTTTTTTTTTTTTTTTTTAAATAAATAAATAAGGATTTTTCCTCCCATGAGGAAGCCAGGCACTTCCTCTAGGTCTCCCACACAGGTGCAGGGTCCCAAGGCTTTGGATCGTCCTTAACAGCTTTCCCAGGCCACAAGCAGGGATCTGGATGGGAAGTAGAGCTGCCGAGATTAGAACCAACGCCCATATGGGATCCCAGTGTGTCCAAGGCAAGGATTTTAGCCACTAGGCCATCACGCCAGGTCCACAATGTTATGTTTATTTTTAAAGGAAATAAACAGAAGGACAGAAACTTAGTCCTTAGGGGGAAGATCTTGCATCTGATGATTCTCTCCCAAGTGGCCACAATGGCCAGTGCTGAGCTGATCCGAAGCCAGGAGCCTGGATCCTCATGGTACTCCCTCATGGCTGCAGGGTCCCAAGGTTTTGGGCCATCCTCAACTGCCTTCCCGGGCCACAGGCAGGGAGCTGGAAGGGAAGCGGGGCTGCTGGGATAGAACTGGCGCCCATATGTGATCCCGGGCGTGCAAGGCGAGCACCTTAACCACTGCGCCACTGTGCCAGGCCCAGTTTTTGCTTCTTCTTAACTTTCTATTTTGGCTTGTGTGAGTTACAAACATGGATTTTATGTTACATAATTTCCAAATCTTTACTATAACTACCTATTTGATTCATCAGTAATCTGTCCTTGGGTAGATCTGGCTCTTGCGGCCACTTGGGGAGTGAATCATCAGGCAGAAGATGATTCTGTCTCTCATGTTTGTGTATTTGACTTTCCAATGAAAATAAATAAATCTTAAAAAAAAAGTTCTGGGCCAGTGAAATGGCTCTATTGGTTAAGTCCTCCCCTTCCGCGTGCTGGGATCCCCACATGGGTGCTAGTTTGTTCCGGCTGCTCTGCTGTCTGTCCAGTTCCTTCACTAAGGCCCGGCAAAGCAGCAGAGGGTGGGACCCTGCACTGGAAGAACTCAATGAGCTTCTGGCTCCTAGCCTCGAAGCTGCTCAGCTCAGGCTGCTGTGGCCATTTGGAGAGTGAACCAGCCGATGGAAGACTTTCTGTCAATTTTTTGTTTCCCATAAAAATAAATCTTAAAAAATAAAATGAGTTCATGTTTTCGTTTCCAAGATGATGTTTAATCATTAACTCTTCTTGTGTTTTTTTCCCTCAGCATTTGACATTGTGCAGCAAAGAAATGGTTATGGAGAAGCCCAGTCCGCTGCTTGTAGGGCGGGAGTTTGTGAGGCAATATTATACTTTGCTGAATAAAGCTCCAGAGTATTTACACAGGTAAATATTTTAAAGATTGTTGGGTATTTGTAATTGTTATTCTTGAGTATGACTGCATGTTTTAAGCCTTCTATTCCTAAGCTGTTCATAGTAAACATCTAAAACCATTTCCAGCGTTTCAGCCAGCGTAAGGCTAAAGTTGTATATGTTCTTCTAATTTTTCCTTACCGCAACTCACCGTGTGAGAATATTTTGTATGGTGTCCCAGTATATAGCACATTCATATCCAGATACACACTCCTAGGCTTGTGTAAGCTTTGAAAACAAACTGAATTTGACTAGCTAATAGGTTCCAAATTGCAATTTGAACTGAATAGCACGTCAGGTTTTCCTAATCAAGTAAATGATTATTACAAAAAATCTTTATTTCTTCTGCTCTGTAAAATAGTATTCCTGGGTAACACAGTGACAGTAGCTTTGTCCATTCTGGCAGGAGTTAAGGTCCCCCCACCCCCAGAAATGGAAATAAATTGAGTATATTACTGATTTTTCTTTTAGGGGTACAATAGCAATTAAAGGCAAATGGCTTTGTTTGGAACATACTAATTGAGCTTTTTATATATATCATGTCCCTTCATTTGGGGGAAAATGGTTAAAATGACTTGCCATCCTTTTATCTGTATAAAATTAGATTTTGCTGTTTCCCTGCCCTGTTAAACATGTGTATAATAGTCTCTGGCCAAGCCTTGGTCCTCCGGCCATCTCGGGGCTAAAGCAGTGGATGGAAGTTCCCTGGGTCTCTCTGACTTGAACAGAGAAAATCAGTACTGGCTTGAAAAGCAGAGTTACCAGGCTTCGGCTGAGGGACCCCCAGGGTGGCCGTAGTATTGATGGCTGGTCTCTGGGTCCCTGGGTCCCTGCTAGCCACTTGCGAGACGGGGTTGAGTTCCAGGCTCCAGACTTTGACTTAGCTGTTGTATCGTTTGTGGAGAATACCAGATTAAAAAGCTGTGTTTGTCTCTCTCTGTCTACTTTTTAAATAAAAACTAAATGCCCAGAAATAAAGACATCCCTATTTTAGTGTATATGAGCGAGTTGGGGGCAGAATGTAATATAGGGCCATGTAAAATTTCATCTTTGTTCACATTGTGGCATTAAACGCATTTAAAATAAAACTTAGATATATTTGAGTGGCAGAGAGAGGGAGAAAGAAATCTCCCATCAACTAGTTTACTCTGCAAAAGCCCACAACAACCAAGAGCAGTGATTCAGCCTGGCTTTGCCACATGGTGGCAGGCACCCAGCACTTCAGTCATCACTTCGCGACTGCAGGGTGCGTATTAGTAGTAGCAAGTGGCAATCGGAAGCAGATCTAGGATACAGATGTCCTGAGCACTGTATCAGCAGGTAACCACATATCCACCTCACGATTTTTTTTTTTAAGATTTTATTTATTTTTATTGGAAAGGCAGAGGTAAAGCCAGAAGGAGGTAAAATGTTTTCCGTCCAATGATTCAGTCTCTAAATGGCCACAATGGCCGAAGTTGAGCTGATACAAAGCCAGAATCCAGGAGTCTCTTCCTGGTCTCCCACACGGGTACAGGGTCCCAAGGCTTTGGTCCGTCCTTGACTGCTTTCCCAGGCCACAAGCAGGGAGCTGGATGGGAAGACTCAGAAGAACCTCCTGGCTCCTGGCTTCAGATTGGGTGAGCTCTGTGATGGTTGCAGATATTTGGGGAGTAAGACAGGAGAAGGCAGATCTTTCTGTCCTCTCTCTGCCTTTCTAATAAAAATATTAAAGTTTGCATGCTGATACCAGACTGTCAGTTGGTAACCCCAGTTGGTTACTTTTTCTTGGATGGGCAGCAATTTAACCTCTTCATGCTCATTAAGGTAATGGCATTCATTTCATGAGATTTTAAGGAGATTAATGCACTCAGAACATGACATGGAGGAAGCTCTTAAGTATTTTATTACAATACATTCTGCGGGAAAAAATATATATTCTGAATTCTCTATGAAAAAAATGATTGTATCTTCAGGTTTTTGTTTTGTTTTCGTTGTGAAATGTTAGATTTATTATAGATATTGAAGATGATGACCTGTGTAGCATTAAGAGAGGTAGGTTTAAAAAACACCCCATTAGATAACCTTAATTTAGAAAGTTCTTAGTCTTGTTTTTACATATGTAATATGAAAGTGTGAATTCCTTTTTTTAAAAATAATTTATTTGTGGGGCAGTTAACAGAGAGGTTGGGGTAGAGCAAGACAGGTTTTCCATCTGCTTGTTTACTCCCCAAATGGCCCCAAGAGCCAGAGCCAGGGCCGGGCTGGAGCCAGGAACTTTGTCTGGGTGTCTAATGTTGGTGTTCGGGCCCAAGGATTTGGACCCTGCTTTTCCTGGCATGTCAGCAAAAGCTGGACTGGAAATGATCAACACTGGGAATTGAACTGGCTCCCATAAGGATGCCAGTGCTGCAGCCGACAGCATTACCTGTGTATGTCACAGTGCTAGAAATCAAGGTTTTTGTTTTTAAAATTTATGTATTTTGATTGGAATGTCAGATATGTAGGTAGTAGGAGTGACAAGGAGGAACATCTTCTGTCCACTGATTTAGTTTCTAAGAAGCTATAGTGGCTGGACCTGAGCGCTTTGAAGCCAAGAGCCAGGAGCCACACAGGTGCAGGGTCCCAAGGTTTGGGGCCGTCCTCAGCTGCTTTCCTAGGCCACAAACAGAGAACTGGATGGGAAGTTGGGCCGCCGGGATTAGAACCAGCGCCAGTAAGGGATCCTGTTGTGTTCAAGGCAAGGAATTTAGCCACTAGGTTGCCGCGCAGGGCCCTGGAATACAAGGTGTTAATTTTTATTACTACATTTAAATAATGCCAGAGAAAGACTAAACTAATCAAGCACTTAAGGAACAGTGTATGGTAGTTTTTTTAATTAGATTTTTTTATCCTTGTCTCTGAATTAAAAATAACTTTTAAAATCTACTATGGCTTTGTAATTAACTATTTGGAGCTTTGGAGAGTGCTAAATGCTAGCACTTGATTTCCTGACAAGTAGATAACTGCATTTTTGTATTTGAAAAAAATCAATAGAAGATTTAAAGATTAGATGAGAATTTCTGATGATTATTAGACTCACTGAGCATTTTATAATTTAAGCCTTAAATCAATCCTGTGAAAGTTACTGCTCTGAATTTATAACCAAGAAACCTGAACTTAAGTAACTGATGTCATAGCTGTACCTGGAACCTAGTGTGTTTGATATTGGGACTTCTCTTGACAGTGCAGTGTTCATCATTATCAGTGGTTTTGCAGGTTTTATGGCAGGAATTCCTCCTATGTTCATGGAGGTGTAGATGCTAGTGGGAAGCCCCAGGAAGCCGTTTATGGCCAGAATGTAAGTACCGTGTCGTAAGTACTTAGTTTTTTTGGTGGGTTTTTTTTTTTTTTTTTTTTTTTTTTTTTTTTTGTTTGTTTGTTTGATTGTTTTGTTTTTGGGTATATTAATACAGAAATTTCAGAAATAGCCTTTTTGTCCTGATACTTTCTTCAGTATGATCATTGGTTGTGTAACAGGAGTTCGTAAATCATTAGTTACCTTAAGTGCTCTTCATTCTTAATAGTTCATTTTTGTATAAAATGTAATACCACATTGGGATATGGTTACAACAGGAGATAGTTTTATATCCTTCATGTATGTTTTATGCGTGGAATACTTAATACAATAGTAGCTTTTACACCTGTGAGCTACAGCTTGCGTTAGGGGGTGCACAGAAGTATATGCTCTTTATAACTTGAGAGGAAAGGAAGACTTTGGAGTGATGTGGACTTCAGCTAGAATGTGAATGTGGGACTTGGAGTAGAGAAAAGGCTATAGTTCTGAAGCAAAAGTAAAATTAGTTATGAAGTCAAGGAGCAGTCAGCACAACTTGTGAGAATAACTCAGTGTTTATCTTAGAGAAGTAGGAGAAAGCTTTAAGAAGAGAACCTTTCATAGAGAAAAGACATTTTGAAAATTGTGATTTATAATCACAGAGATGCATAATGGATTCAAATGAAACAGATTAAGTTGTTAGCATGTTAGAGTTTAGAGGAAATCAGTGAGGGCAAGTAATACAGTATTATGTAGAAAATGAGTAATCACATTTTCCCTCTTTCCCCTATAAAGGATATACACCACAAAGTGTTATCTTTGAACTTCAGTGAATGTCATACTAAGATTCGTCATGTGGATGCTCATGCAACTTTGAGTGATGGAGTAGTTGTCCAGGTCATGGGTTTGCTGTCTAACAGTGGACAGCCAGAGAGGAAGTTTATGCAAACTTTTGTTCTGGCTCCTGAAGTAAGTTCTCCATTTCACTTAGTTTTCATTTGTATGACTTATAGTTGGTTTAAGTGTCTTAAGTGTTTGTTCTAAAAGGCTTAGATTTGCATATTATTTTTTTGATAAGCATTGTTGGGCCTATTGAAATTTATTTGGATGCATGTAGATGTGTGCCTTAACTGTTTGGAATTAAGTCAGATAGGGGTGCAAGTGTGTAAATAGGTAATTAAGATCACAGCAGTAAAACAAAGTGTTTTAAAGTTTAAATATATTAAAATCATAACATTCTGCTCTTAAATCACATTGTGTTCAGAACAGGAAATGATCTGTCTTGTCATGTAATTTGTTTTATGTAAGCCTGAATTTATGGGCATTTATGGAATATTTGCATGTTGTGTTCCCAATAGGGATCTGTTCCAAATAAGTTTTATGTTCACAATGACATGTTTCGTTATGAAGATGAAGTGTTTGGTGATTCTGAACCAGAACTTGATGAAGGTGAGGTGCTTTCTAGACGCAAGATTTCTGTCGGTATTTTCAAAGGACTCTTAATTTTTGTAAGACAGAAATTTGCATCCACGTTGAGTGAAACCCCTTTTACTGCTAATTTTCTTTTTCATACAAGGTATAATGTTTATTTATGAAGTTACAGAGAAAGCAAATATAGAAAGAGAAATTCTTCCATCAGTCTCATCCGAGTGTGATGCTTATTAGAGTTATTGGATCATATTACTTAGCAATTTTATGGAAATGGAATTGTGCTCTTATATTTGTAGTTGCTACGTCTTTGTTGGCTTGTCTTCATTTGGCTATGCTATCATTGAGTATAGTGATGGCCACTGGCTTGTTTTCCTTTGTTTTTATTACTGTTTTTTATATCATTGTGACAAAGGAAACTGAATTATATTAGTCAGTACCAATCTTCATTACTCTTTCTCTGTTTGAGAGAACAGGGAATAGTGCAGTTAAATTACCTTTATGAAAGCTTACTAAATTTTATTATTGTACCACTTCCTTAAACATATCAAAAATACTGTATGAATAGTTATATTCATAGAATACTGTATGAATAGTTCTATAAATCTTGTAAAATAATCTGTGATGTGTTATGGTTTGTCAGAATCAGAAGATGAAGTAGAAGAGGAACAAGAAGAAAGGCAGCCATCTCCTGAACCTGTGCAAGAAAGTGCCAACAGCGGCTACTACGAGGCTCACCCCGTGACGTAAGCATAGCATTGACAAGGCTGCATTTGATCTGAACCATCATGTGTTCACAGGGTGTTTTTGTTACAAAAATTATTGTTGGTAATTTTTTCAAGCTACCTATTTGTGCCTATCTCTTTCTCTGTTTTCCCTCTCACTGCCCTCCCCCTCCCCCATTTCTTTCTTCTCCCTCCTCCCCCCACAAAACTTTTATTTTCATCAGAAATTCAACGTGGTTTGCACTTATAACATGGAATCTTTAGTGTCCATTTTGTTGTTGTTTGACAGTGTGAGTCTTAACACTAACATAAATCTCCCTGGTAGCCCGGTTTTAAGATGGTAGTGTTAACAAAATGCTTGTTTTGCTTCTTGGCCGTTTGGCTAAGATCAGGTGTTAAATAACTGCTTATGAATAGTGTTACTTTCTTCCTCCTGGATTTTTCTTCAAAAAGCACATGTAAATAGAGGTTATTGATCTTAGTTATGCCCATGGGTTGGGAGAGGAATTGAACTTAAACTTTTTTTTTTGAACTTGTACTGAATGAATTAAATATTTTATTGTAGTAATGGCATAGAGGAGCCGTTAGAAGAATCTTCTCATGAGCCTGAACCTGAGCCAGAATCGGAAACAAAGACAGAAGAGCTGAAACCACAGGTGGAAGAGAAGAGTTTAGAAGAATTACAGGAGAAGTCTACCACTCCTCCCCCTGCAGAACCAGTCTCCCTGCCGCAAGAACCACCAAAGGTTAGATGGGAGGAACTCTGGACCTTTACCATCACGTTCGTAGTTGATGTCATTAATGAAGCATGTGTTAAGTTATTTAATACAGTAAGCTGTGCTTTTTTATGTGTATGAAAGAAGCTCTGAGGCCTTTGTTATTAGTAAGGAAAATTTAATCTCCCCCCTCAAAAAATGACCCCCAGGAGTAAATTTTATAATTTAAGGTTTTAATCTTTGTATGCAACCTTAATGTACAATTTTTTTGGGTCCATATGTGAGGCTGTCAGATGCTGTTTGATTCTGTGTTAAATCCTCTAAGCACAGAAGCACCAGGATTCGTGGAATTTCCCAACTACAAAAAAATGTTCATCTGTAAATTAAAAGAAGAGAAGGCTTGTTGTTTGTGGTTTAAATGAGATCAATTTCCTTACTTACATCAATTAACTGTCTTGGAAAGATGAGTGACACCATAGTATATCATGTAAGCTTACCTAAATCTTCTTTTATCTTCTGTAATGTAGCTTAAGGTATATTTGGGTAGAAAGAGATTTCCTCGTTCAATTTGTTAATGTCTGTTTAAGTTTCCAGCTAAGTACTCTCTTCTTTCCTATCTTTACCCTCTCCCCTTAACACCATCACACACCCTGATTTTCCCAAAAGAGCAAAGAAATTGGTTCTAATAGGCTCATATATTTTCAGCATGTTTAGTTGTTAGTGGTTTTGTTTGCCACTTGCTCATCTACTTAGAGTATATAGGAACTTGCTTGTGGATTTATTTAGTATCAGAAAAAACAAGTGTCTTGCATAAAAATAATCTTGCATAATGAAATTTTGAAAGCTGGCACATAGACTGGCATGTGTGTGTGTGCCATTCTTCTAGGAATCCCCCAATATAGAGCAATAGTTTAGAAATGAACAGACAATATATATTTGGAAATTTCCCTTTAGGAATGTTGGTGGTTTTCCATGATTAGTAGTGTAGGTTTGTTGCATTTCCTGCAGGCTTTCTCCTGGGCTTCAGTGACCAGTAAAAACCTGCCTCCTAGTGGCACTGTTTCCTCCTCTGGAATTCCACCCCATGTTAAAGCAGCAGTCTCACAGGTAACCAATCTGTGAACACATTGGATTGTATCCTTGTTACATTGCCAACTGCTTATTTTTTTTTCTACTTTTTAAATGATTCATTCAACTTATGGATTAAATATACAAAACAACATGTATTAAATGTCAGTGCACCCACTTTAAATGCCGAATCTCCATTCATCATCTACATAGGTGGTATTTGGGGTTTGGGTGTGTGAATACAGATTAAGTTGGTTTTATTAGTATATAATATTGTTATTTAAAAGGCTTCCTAGAGTAATAAAAATGTTCCTTTTTAAAAAAAAAATCTAAATTTTGTTCAGAAATATTTTAGGTAAGAAATTGGAAAGGCACAAACTACTCTGGCATTTAAAGAGTTTTTTTAAGTGGAAAACTTTACATTGCCTCAGCGCGCTCAGTCTGTAAACGGTTCACCATTTAGTTGAAGCCTGTACCAACTTATGACTGTAGTGTTCACTTTAACTGATCATTTCCAGTAATCTGCTTTGTCTGTTTGCCATCTCACACATTTCAGACCTTTACCAAAATATGAAAAGACACAGGTTATCTAAAATGGTTGTTAGATACAGTTGAGGGTTAACTAAATTCAAATTTTTTCAGGTACAGCTACAGGGTGTCCAATTCCTTTCCCTTACGTTTGAGTTAAACTTCATTTCACTAGAAAACTTACACTTTAAGCTGTATAATCAGCCAACATAATAGAATACACAGTTCCATTATACATGTTTGTATGTGTATGTGTGTGTCTTTTTTTTTTTCCCCCCCCAGTTAGCTATTCAGGAAACAAAGACTGGTTACTTTAGATCATAAATCAGAGTTCTGTCTTGATGTAGAAAATGAGTTTGTCCAGTTTTTGTGTTTTTCACCACAAATGGAGATCTCATGACTCATGGCTTTTCTTTTGAAACCTTGATTTCTTGGCAGATTTGGTTTGGGAGTCTTTGGATGGTTACTTCATTTTAGAGGGTTAACTGCATTTAGATAGCTAAAGGTTACTCAGTGCTTTTGGTGCCTGAGCCTTTTATAATCATGCCCATTTAACCCTCAACAACCAGTCAGCGTGGGTGCTAGGATTAATTCTTGAGCTAGGACAACAGAGGGCTAGAGTTGGTCATCGTAGGGAGACCTCTGCAGACTAAAGTGTTACATTCAAACACTTGGGATACTAGCTGCTGCATGTGTGATGCAGCAGAACCCCAGCGCCTTTAGCTCCTTGTTGGAAGCCAGTCAGTGTTTGCTAGCTGCAGTTGAAAGAATACTATGTTTAAGGCTTCCCTGAATCAAATTACATACTTTGTCTGTTGCCCAAGAAAGTTTAAGTATCCTACATAATTTTAAGTTGCATTTTTAAAATATTTTTCAAATTGTGGGAAATTCTGTATGTTCAAAATTTAAACTTGAGAACTTTCTGATCTTTAGGCTACTATCTAGAGTGTATTTCTGTTATTTACACTTCTTTTGATAGCACTTCAGTTTTATTTTGTTAGTTTTAAATAGCTTTTATTTCGTCACATTTATAACCAGATGATTGATAAAAAGGACATTAAAATTAATTCTAGGATGATGATAGGCAATAATCTAGAAGTAGGTAAGTTATTTTCTCGGGAATTGAAATGGACTAGTTCATCTAAATAGGTTATGTTTAATCGAAAGGTTGGTTTATCAGTTGTGCTTACATCTGCTTTTATTGACTTGATTTGATGGTTCATTTTAAGTTCATTTTCTGTTGACCTTCATATTGGGATTTCTCATTTTTATGCTTTTCTGGTTACCAGGAACTAATTTTAATGCCTTAATAATAGTATATGGCATGTTAACCACTCTGTTTAGAACAACTAGATTCTAACACGAAATAGAACCTGAAAAATTATGAGTTTTATTGAAAGGCAGATTTACGGAGAAAAGGAAAGACAAAAATCTGGTTCAGTCCTTAAATGGCCACAGTGGTCACAGCTGAATGGTTGAAGCCAGGAGGTTATTCCAAGTCTTCCATGCAGGTTTACAGGGTCTCAAGATTTTCGGCCACCCTCTGTTACTTCCCCAGGCTACAATCGGGGAACTTAATGGGAAGTGCAGCAGCTGGGACACGAACCAGCGCCTGAATGGGATCCTAGCACCTGGAGGTGGAAGATTAGCCAGTTAAGCCATTGTGTTAGGCCCAAATTTACTTTAAAAAAAAAAATTTACTTATTTTCTGTTGGAAAGTCAGATATACAGGCCAGAGCTGAGCTGATCTGAAGGCAGAAGCCCTAAGCTTCCAGGTCTCCGACATGGGTGCAGGGTCCTGAGGTTTTGGGCCATTCTCCATTGCTTTCACAGGGAATCTGGGTGACGGATGGGAAGTAGGACTGCTGAGACAGGAACTGGCGCCCATATGGGTTCCTGATGTGTGCAAAGCAAGGACTTCAGCTGCTAGGCTACCACACCAGGTCCATATCTATTTTCAATTGTAAAATCTCTATGGATAAGAAAGGGCTTTTTTGTTTTGTTTCTTACTCATCTTTATGTGGCAGTTGGAAAAGAATTTAAAGTCTCAAGTTAACTTTGTAACATTTGGATTGGGAGATGTTTTTCTGATGTTGCTTTTCTGGTAATACACTAGCCTTGTTAGAGTTTGAACAGAATATATCTCTCCTTCAAATCTGTTTTACAATCAAACTGAATTACAGTGTACTTTTATGTTACCTTAGTTGAAATTTCTAAATAATTGCTTTTTTCAGGCATCACATTTAAGATCAAATTATTATACAGGATAAAAACCCATCTACAGATAGCAGTGGTCTCAGGGCTGTTACTGAGTCTCTTTCTCAAATATAGAACATTCAACATATTTTGGGCCAGGAAACTAATATTTAAAATTATAAGTCAGACAAACAGTAAATGTACATCTCACCTGAAATACTGTGCTTATTTCTTTGGGAGAGCTAAAAAAGTTGTCCATATGGACAAATATATATAAGTAACAATAAAAATGCAGTTTTTTTTTAACAATTATAATTGCAAAAATCAGAAACAATTCCATCTTGAGGGCAATGGGACACATCTGTGTGGAGGAAAACGACTTAGAGCAGGCAAATCTGTGAAAAGCTGCTGTTGTAGGAGTTTTAATATACCTTTTGGTTGTCATGGCTTAAATCATTTGCAATAAGTTGATTGTCATTTTGGAAGGAAACATAATTATTATAATAAAATCTGTCTTGAAAATTATAATGCCCCAGACACATAAAAGAAAGAGCCCACTTGAATGAGAGCCTAAGAGATGAACACCTGTAAAGTCGGAACTGAAGTGCTCTGATCAAAGACATTCTCCCAGTGGTCTCTTCTGCTTTGGAGCTGTAGATGGCCTTAGGAGGCTGGGCCTAATGAAAATTCAGTAAGGGAAAGGTAGTAGCAAGTGTGGATCAAAGTTTGTTTTAAATAGTTATTTTTAATTTATATGTTTAAATCCGCTTTAATCAGAAACTTTTCGAAGGCAGCAGAAATTGTCCCATTATCCCCTACTCCCGTCATAAGACATAGTTAACACTTGAAGGCGTGCAATGTACTTTAAATGAATGCACAGAAATCTAAGGACTACTGAGTATTTGATGCTACATACAAGTTCTCATAAGTTCTTGTCATGTTTTTTTGTGTGCGTTTAAACTTGAAGATGGAATTTTTTAAGGGATAGAGAAAGGTGGAGTTCCATGCTTTAAGCTATTAAAATTAATTTTTCAGATAATGGGGGGTTTGGAAATAGTACTCAACACTGTGAACATTTAGAAGGGCAGTAAACTAGAGATAAAGAATGGCTTTTACTTTTGTTTGTGTATTCCACGTGATTTTTGTAGCAGTACCTTTTATGCTATGCTAGTGTGGATTAAACTTTTAATTAAAGCAGTGTGATTGCTTACCACTGCTTATTGTGAGTTACACTACCTTGAGTGGGAACAGTAAAATACTCTACAGTCCTAGATTGGTACAGAATATCACAACTTACTTCTCACATACATATGACACTTTACTTAAAAGATATTATACAAATAACGTGCTTGCTAGTTGTTTGTTCTGGTTGTTTGCAGTTTTTCCTCTACTGAAGTTTTTCTTTATAGTGTGTTTTTACCCTTATATTTTAGCCAAGAGTTGAAGCTAAACCGGAAGTGCAGTCTCAGCCACCTCGTGTGCGTGAACAACGACCTAGAGAACGACCTGGTTTTCCTCCAAGAGGACCAAGACCAGGTGAGTTGGCCCCTATAACTGTTAGTATTTAGCAGCTGGAAATTTGGAGAATGACCTTTAAAAAAAAAACTCACGTGTCTTGCTCATGGACCTTTGTAATATCAAATTCTTTAAGGATGTCAGTAACCTGCTGAAGAAGTACAGCTTGGGGCACACAACCAGCTTTCAGGGGAGAATTGGTAGACTTGCCATGGAGACCTGTATTTTGAACGTGTGAAGACAGACAAGTTTTATGTGGTTATTGTCACTGGTTTTTAAGAATCCTAAACCGAGCTGCCAATAACCTAACTCTCTTACTTAGAACTCTTATCTCTTCACAGATAAACACTAAGCACTCCCTGATTCTTCTTATTTTGATTGTCTTAGGTATTAAGTAAGTTGCCATGATTTTTGACTTGTTTACTAGCTAATATGTAGTACTTCTGTTTGGATTCTAGAAGAATGTTTAGCTTGTTTTTGGGAGGAGGTGGGAGATAGTATTCATCAAGTTCAACATGTTATTCAAAAACGAAGTAAAAGAAGTGATGTGTTACCAAGCCAGAAGTCATGAGAGCTGCAAGTTTGTCTAGTTTTGCTCCTGATTGAGAAAATGTTCTTGACAGGCACCCTTGCATTTTGAGCTTTCTTGTGCCACTAAATTATTATATAAGCTTTTTCCTTTATGTACCCTTTCTTAATGCCTCACTGTATTCCTTTTATAATTGGGAAAATCAAATAAGATTTTATGTTACAGTAATATAAAACGTAAGATACACAAATGAGATTACTAGTGTGAAATTTACTGATTTGGCTGTAATGTTATACAACAAGACATTACGAAATTTGGGAATTTGAAAAAACTAAGCAAATATACTTAATTTTTGGATATCAAAACGGACTTAGTTCCTAGATAATGGCAAATAAGTTGGTTAAGAAGAAATACATGTACTACTAATACCTGACTGGTTTAATAAGACATGTAGGATAGAGAAGAAAGCTTGGCAGTCTAGTCAGCAACTACACTTTGCAGGTTAGTCACGTTATTTAATAACTAACATACTAATATGATACTTCTTTTCTCTTTGCAAGGAGCTCACTTGATTTTACTAAACTAAAACAGGAATATATCGGTGTTAAGTGATCTTTATACTCACTGCTTTGAACTAGTTTTTCTGGGATGTTATAGACTTTAATGACAGTGTAAACTTTGCTTGCTGTTCTCAGGCAGAGGAGATATGGAACAGAATGACTCTGACAACAGGAGAATTATTCGCTATCCAGATAGTCATCAACTCTTTGTTGGTAACTTGCCACATGACATTGATGAAAATGAACTGAAAGAATTCTTCATGAGTAAGTGGCTTATTTTGCTTCTAAATTAAAATTTCAGGGGCCAGGATGATGGCATTGTGAGCTAATCTTCCACCTGCTACTCCAGCATCCCATATGGGAACTGGTACATGTCTGGGTTGTTCCATTTCAGGTTCGCTTTCCTGCTAATGGTATAGGAAAGCAGCAGAAGGGGACCCAAAACCTGTGGCACCTACAGAAGAGACCTAAAAGAAGCTCCTGGCTCCCAGTTTTTGACTGGTTCAGCTGTGGCAATTACTGCCATCTGGGGAGTGAACCAGCAGATGAAAAACCTGTTACTCTTTCAAGTAAAAATAAACCTAAAATTTTAATTTTTTGAAAATTGTTTTAAATAAGCCAAATGTGGGCCCAGCATGATAGTGTAGTGGTTATTAAAGTGCTCGCCTTGAACGTGCCGGGATCCCATATGGGTGCCGGTTCTAATCCTGGTGGCCCTCCTTCCCATCCAGCTCCCTGCTTGTGGCCTGGGAAAGCAGTCAAGGATTGCCCAAAGCTTTGGGACCCTGCACCTGCGTGGGAGACCCGGAAGAGTTCCTGGCTCCTAGTTTCGAATTGGCTCAGCTCCAGCCAGTGCGGCTGCTTGGGGAGTAAACCACCAGATGGAAGATCTTCCTCTCTGTCTCCTCCTCTGTATATCTGCCTTTCCAATAAAAATAAGTAAATCTTTAAAATAAAAAAAAATAAGACATGTGCATATAAATAAAACTTTTATAATGTATATACTATTTTAAATTTTTTATGTATTTGAGACAGTCCAGTTGGGAGGAAGGTGCCTTTCACAGTTTCACTCCCCAGATGTCTTCTGTAGCTGGACTGGTCTAGAACAAGAAGCTGGGGAGTCAGTCTAAACTCTGTTGTGGGTGGCAGGGACCCAACTCTAGCCCATGCCTGCCACCCGCCAGGATCTTCATTTGGCAGATAAATCAAAACTAACACTTTCTAATACTATATGGGCAGTTAATAAAGATACAAAAAAGTAACAGAACAAGCATGCAGGCCCATTTATGGGTGTCTTAGATAATGGCCTGCATGAGTGAACTGTAACTTACAAGGTAACATTTTTACATGGATCAAGGTTTATGCATTCTGAACCATCAGTCAAACCCATTAAAATATTTAACCCTGCATGTAATGTATATTTTCACAGGTTTTGGAAACGTTGTGGAACTGCGCATCAATACCAAGGGTGTCGGGGGAAAGCTTCCAAATTTTGGTTTTGTGGTTTTTGATGACTCTGAACCAGTTCAGAGAATCTTGATTGCAAAAGTAAGTGATTTAGAGGGCATAAACACTTTAGTATTAACTCTTTTCTATGTCATTATTAAATTGTGATGCATTTTACAGTTACTGAAAAATCTTTAATGGAAAAGTTAAAATTAATTCAGTATGAAATGACATTCATGCAGAGTTAAAATTCACTAGAAAGTTTTAAAGTCTGAGGTGTAGCTCATTTTGAATTTCAGTATTTGATGAGCAAGGTTGGAAACTTACATTTTTTTTTTTTTAATGTTTTCCCATTTGGACATTCAAATTTGTCTGTGTGATATTTCTGTTGATGTCTAACCTTCTCGTGTAAATATTTTTCTCCCCTCGTGAAGCCAATTATGTTTCGGGGGGAAGTACGTTTAAACGTGGAAGAGAAAAAAACAAGAGCCGCAAGAGAACGAGAAACCAGAGGTGGTGGCGATGATCGCAGGGATATCAGGCGCAACGATCGTGGTCCTGGAGGTCCCCGTGGAATAGTGGGTGGAGGAATGATGCGTGACCGAGATGGAAGAGGGCCTCCTCCTAGAGGCGGCATGGCACAGAAACTTGGCTCTGGAAGAGGAACCGGGCAGATGGAAGGCCGCTTCACAGGACAGCGCCGTTGAAGCTCCACTGTTGACCAAGTCTTGACAGTGGTACATTATTCATCGTGTTTGCATTCTTGTTAATTTTTTTGGCTTTGGAATGTGACACAGCCTTTTTGATCATTTCTTTGATGTGCAAAGCATCTTTTGGTTATCATTTAAATTGAGGTGGACATTATTTCCCCAATTCTACAACAGGATTCACATTGTTAATTTATAAATCTAGACTTGGAGAATTAAGGACTGAGAAATGACCATATCTTAAACTATCAACAACAAAATGAACTTAAAAGGACATGCCCACTGAATTCAGGTCCTATGAGTCAAAAAAAAATCCTCGGCTGCACATTTTGTTTAAGTGTTACTGTTTCTGCCTATTAATGTTGGAAACACAAATAGTGCAATTTGTGCTAATGGAGAATCTTGCCTTTTTTCTTGGCTCCCCCAAAAAAACAACAGAAACTTGTGATGTACTCATCAGACTGCACTAATGGGTACTCTGAACTCGTTAACTTTGAAATCTGCAACAGGAGGCAACAGGGAAAAAAACAATCTTTCTTCTTTTCCAGTAGAGAATAGTTTGTGAAATGATGAGGGCATTTTATCTGCTTGCTGTGACCAGCGTGTATACACATAAACCTTAATGAGACTACAAGTATATACCAGAAGGAAATTCTTTAGTTATGAACTAAACAAAAATCAGAACTTCAAATGCTATGGTCTTAAATATTAGACCAGATTTAGTAGCTCCACATTTAAGGTTTTTTCTACTTGCCCCTCTTCAGTACAGGGATGGCTGGCTGCTCAACACACTCCTCCTCCCCCTTTTCCTTTCTTTAAGCTGTGTACAGTGAAAATTGTCTTTACTGTATTTTTGTTCTCTGGTATTGTAATAAGCATGATGGTGCCTTCTATTAATACATCATTCCAGTCTTGCTGGTAATTTTGTACAGTATAGTGTATGAATTGCTGTGCTGCAAAGCCAAACAGCTGCAAAATGTTGAAAAATCATTGAAGTGTATAAAAATTGCAGTATCTTTTAAAAAATCAGTAAAGTGGACTAGCATATTATTTATCTTGTTCTTCAGTTATCAGCTTTGTTCTCTGTGGGAGGGAGGGAAGGAGGAAGTCAGTTGTTTGACTGTAGTTGTCATTTCTCTTAGCTTCAGTGTGAGCGTTGATTCGTATCACTTTGAATGCTTAGAAAAGTCAGTCAACTCAATGTCCATTTTCAGTGACAATTTAGAAGCGGTCAGATTCCATATATGGCAAATAAACCTGAAGTGAGGATACTGCAATTTTCTGGGGGAAAGAATAGCAGCTCTTAAGTGTTTGCATTTTCTATTTGGGGGAGGGCAGGGAACTGTCATTCATTTTGCACAATTCTTGAACTGATGTCAGCACCCGAATGGCTCCTGAATTTAAGTCTGGGACGGCATCTTTTATTTTTACATGAATCTGTGAGCAAAGTTTGTGGCTGCTGGAGTACTGTCTGTCTCTGTATAGGAAGTTCCAGTAAAACTGCAACTGAGGCAAAAATTCTCCACTCTTCGGCCTGGAGCACTTAGTACGTCCCAGTTTCTGATGTTTCAGGCTAGAAGTGGGCTAAAGAATTGTGACCACTTAAAGCTGCTTTTCAGCATGGAAGACTTCTCCATTCTACCTAAGTCAAAGCAAGAACAAAATATGCACTTGACGTATTAACAGACTGGTTCTGAATTATGCAACTGTTTTGCTATTCAGTAAACCAGCAAATGATGAACATGTTTTGTTTTACATATACTGGGCAATATGAGTAAGATTCTGTTCTCATTTTTTCCCCTCAAATGAGGTCTTCCATGTTGGAGGAAAAGACTTGCACTATTGCATATATTTTGGGGACACAGAATTTCATAGTTTCCATTTGGGGGACTTAATGGTTTCTTTATTTGTTGGTTTGAGACAGTTTTACTCCTGGTGTATAGTACTTGAAGTTCTTGAGCAGAAAATTACGTTGACATTTTGACGCCTTTATTCAGACTTCTTTTAAATAATTGACTATTTTTGTCAGTGTTGGGTTTCTGCTCCCAACCATCCCTCCCTCCCCATGATATTTTCCCTCTGCTGTTTCTTTTTCTCTTTATTTTACATATTTATATATGCATATACACGTGTGTGTGTGCGTGTGCGTGCGTGTGTGTGTGTGTGTAATATCTAGTCTGGGATATTGCCCTGTCACCCGTGAAAACTGTTTTGGCACCAAAAGTAATGACAGTTGTTAAGTGTAATAGAACATTAGAGCAAAGAGCCATTCAGCTTCAGTCTTTACATACCATGAATAAAATTTAAACCATCACATGGAGAAGTTTACATGGTGATTGTTCACCTGCAGTACTGTGGACTTTTAACATTTTGTCCCCTTTTCCGTGAAACAGAGTAAAAATACTCATCTACTATTACTGTTATTTGCTGATTTCATTTTATTTTTTGATGGTAATATTCTATCCTTATGACACTATTGCAACCAAACTGGCTTTCCCATCTTGGCTTTAGTAGGTATAGAAGACAGTGGATTACCATCTTCATTGCTGTAATGTGTTAAGCATTATATGCTAGTAGAATCTAGTTTAATTGTTTCAGGTGGAAAATATTCTTTGAGTTTCCATTTTGAATGTGTTTGGACTAAACAAACAATAAACTACTGATGTCTGCAGCATTTATCTATGTCCCTAATTTCATCTGTAGTTTTTTATGTTCCCAGAAATTCTGGTTGCATTTCGTCATCTCAGTAAAAATAAGAACTGTTGTAAATGAAACCGCATAGTATTATTGTGAAATTTTATGTATAAAACCAGTGTAACAGATGAACATGCATATCAGTCAAATTTGAAAAGGAGTGCAAAAGGTGAGAATCTGCCGGACTCTTTTCCCTTAAATGTAGCTTTCTCAAGGATTTCTACCTCGCATCTTGGAGAAGAGAAAGGGGTGAGAAGGTTAATATCACAATTTATGGCTGTAATGCAAATTCAGAAATGGGAGTTATTTTCAAGCCCTATAGGGATATGAAAGGGGGGGGTGTCATTAGTTACACTTCAAATAAAAAATGGAGTCCTCAGGGCATGTGCAGTTTCAGAACTTAACTTTCTAGAGGGGTGATGAGATTTTCCTGTTAATGCATTCATAGCACCGTTTAAGGTTCCTGCATCGATCTTTAGAAGTACTGGAGACTGACCAGGAAAGTGAAACATTACTTAAATAATCTTCTTGACCCTCACACTGTTGAAACCAGTCACAAATTGGAAATCTTAAACTTGTAATTTGTCTGGGAAATTTATATGGTACAAAATATTGTAGAATCATAGCCAGTTAAGATATTTCATTTCAGTTTTGTAAGCAAGTGACTGAAAAATCGGGTAGTGGCTTGAAGTTTCTCTTAAAGTTAGTCAAAACCCTTTTTTTTTTTTAAAGGTAGCATGCCATATTTTGATCAATTTTGGAGCCTTAGTTCCAAAATATTTAAATTCCACTGGGTAAACGAACCATTATTAATTGTGGGTAGATTTTTACAACAATCTTTGTGATAGATTTTAGTGGGTTCATATAAAAAGGAAATGTAAGATTTTGCCACATAAAGCAATTTCTAAATAATGAGGGCTGGCTCTGTGCTACAGGTTTAGCTACTGCTTACTACTCAGCTTTCCATTTCAGCACTGTTTTGAGCCTCAGCTATTCCTCTTCCAAGCCAGCTTTCTGCTAACGGTCCTAGGAGACAGAAGGTGATGGATGATGCAAGGGACCATTTATGTGGATGACTTGCATGGAGATCCTGGTTCCTGGTTTTCACCTGGCTTCCATTAACACTGGCTGTTGGCAACCATTTGGGGTCTGAACTAGAAGATGGAAAATGCCACTCCCTCACTCTACCTTTCAAATTTTAATAATGAAGTAACTGGCTGTTTTGACAAAGGAGGATTATATCTAACAGTCTTTAGAACTGCAACTCCATTTTTAGTGTTACTAAAAATTGGGTAAAATAAACAGATGCAGACTTAAACATTGATGGGAAGATTACCAGCATTTTTTTTTTTTTATTGTACTTGAAGAGCAGGGATAGAAAGTGATTTTCCAATCATTGGTTCATGTGCTCAATGTACAAAGATTGAACAATTCAATCTAGGTCTCATATGGTTGGCAGGGACTCAAGTGCTGGAGCCATCACCTGTCTCCCAAGGATACTCGCAGGAAGCTGCATTCAGAATCGGAGCTGGGACTGGAGCCCAGGCACTACCATGTGTCCAGAGCTGACTGCTGTTCTGGATGCCTGCACCTTGGGGGCGGGGGGAGGGGGACAGACAGTTTGTATCCATTGGTTGACTCCCAAATACTGACTGGCTAGTCAGAGTTAGGGTTGGACTATCAGCTTGGAAATCGGTCTAAGTAGGTTAGCAAACCCATCATTTGAGCTATCACTGCCCCTTTCCAAGGTCTTCATTATCAGTTGCCAAAGCTGAAAATGGAGCCCAAGTGCTCTGATGAGCGATGGAGGAGTCTGGTTTCAATTTCTGCCCTGTAGCCTTCTGTTAATTACCAAGTTCACCTCTGAAGTGTGAAGCTGTCTGCATCGATTCAATTTTGTGAAAAAGGAGACTGACCACTTCAAAGCCAGGGTTCTAAATTATTTAAAATTAGCTAGATAGATGAATAATCACCTAAAAATCATGAAATATATTTTTGATAAACTTAGTAAACACAGAGAAGGTAATTGCATAGAATCATTTGCACCTTAAATTTATAGTGAAGTGACTTGGGTAACTTCACAGCCCAAGTTACCTAGTTGCTTGAATTCCTGCCCATCTGTGTGCCAGACCTGGCTGGACCTCATTCCTTGGGCTGGGCACTCAACCACCAAAAGGAAGATTCTCTTTTCCTTGATCACCCTGCCTTTCTAAATATTTTTAAATAAATGTATATTTGAAGGAGTGACAGTGAAAGATCTTGCATGTTTTAGCAAGATCCATGCAAGGACTAAGATGGGGCTAGGCTGGAATTTTTTATGCACATCTGTTGCTGATAGAGGCACAAACACTTGGGTTATCCTCCTGTGCTTTTTGCATTCTAATTAGCAGGGAGCTGAATCCAGAAGGGGAGCTGCTGGGAAACAAACCAATACCCATAATGGGATCCCTGTGTCACAGGTGGTGGCTTCTACTCGCTACTCCATAACACTGGCCCCTCAAACTTCTCAAAAACCTTCAAAATTTAGTTTTGTTTCATATCTACCTCATCCCCCAGGCCCTTTTTCACCTCAGTTTGTATCGGCTTCAGTCTATAGTGTAAAATGGCCAGGAACACACTGTTAGAACCACATAGCCTGGGCTTGAATGGTAGTTCCAGGTAAGCCTTTTTCTCTGCTTTTCCTTATTTGCAAACTGGGTGATTGATGGTCGGGGTTTTGTGATATAATGCATAAAAGCATGTTAAAACAGTGTAGGAGACCCTTAAAATGACGCATTTGAATTTCTGCTATCTGCCTTCTGTGCATTCCAGATTAAACATGTTTTGTTGGCCCTCTCTTGGAAATGGGATATAATTAAAAATTAGGAAATACAAAATTATTCTAAGTTGACCTCGCTGTCAATGCACATTGCTATTTTTCTGATTAATTGACCTAGAGAAGTTTGAAGTCTCATCTCTCCTTATTGTTTTCTGTCTACTTGTGTTTTCTGCAACCCGTGTTCCTTACTGCAGGAAGACTTGTTCATGTTTTTCTGAACTCCTTTTGCTGGCTCATTCATTCAGAACCATTTATGATGTAATGAGCACTAGGATCTCTAAGCAGGAGTGTAGTTTTGTAATTTTTGCTTTTCTTTGGTTCCCTTGGCTTTATGTCTGTCTTCAAAAGTGGCACATGAAATGGTAAGTTATGTACATTTGCCACAAATACCAAGAGCATGCTATGCATGTCATGAAGAATGAACTCGTTGCAGCTCATTGACTGTCCTGTAAGTACCTTGCTATGTACATTTTCTCTCCAGATTATTTAATGCAGACAAGTCATTGAATAAAGTTCATTGATCACTTCTGCATCAACAGCTGAAAGGCAGTGTTAACCCAAGTGTCAGCTGACATAATGCAGCACAGTGACCAAGTAATGAAAAGCTAGAGAACTTGGCAAAGCTTTGAGGTTAACTAGAGGAGGCTGGGATACATGGAATAAGTCAAGGAGTGCCCATGTGGTAAAAAGTTGGTAGTGGAGGTAAAGGGATGAGATGAGATGAGATTGTAAGAAGTTTATTTGGACTTAAACCATTAAGAAGTATTAAGCCTGAGTAATAAAGCAATGCTATTTTGAAACGGAGGGTTATTTATTTTACAGGCAAAGAGACTGAGGCCCAGAAAGGATGTGATGGTTACTCTAGCGTGAAACATGGATGCTTGATTAGTCAAGTGTTGATTTGTTTTAAAGGACTATAAAATCAACCTCAGGATGAGTTAAACTTTGAATGCACTGCATCTTTATCCTGGCTTTATTTTACAAAATTACAACATCAGTCTCCAGCACTAACAGGTCTAAAATTCAAGATCCCTTACTCAGAAATGCATTCAGAAAGCACACAGCTTAGTGATATGACCAAGATTTGGACCAAGCTGAGCTGATCTGAAGCCTGGAGGTTTTTCCGTGTCTCCCATATGGGTGCAAGTCCCAAGGACGTGGGCTACCTGGGTCCTTTCCAAAGCCATAAACAGGAAGCTGATGGAAAGTGGAACAGCTGGGACGTGAATCCATGCCCAGATAGAATGCCATGCTTGGAGGTGGGAGGATTAGCCAGTTCAGCCATTGTACCAGGCCCAATGTGTATTTGTTTCTTAAGTGGTCAAAATTTGGAGAAGCTCAAAACAAAATTTTGCTTGATGGGATGAAGATAGTAGCCCTTGGAATACACTGCATGTGAGTGATTTCCATTGTAAGTTACTGGGTATTAGGATTGAGTTAAAATAGTTCCCAGTGATACCTGTTACGACTGTGTGTGTAAAACAATAAAATCCTGGATGGCAGTGTTATTGAATGCTTACATCTGATGTGACCAAGAACCTGCCTGGGGCCAGCTGGTGATCACAGCGAATGTAACCCACCTGGAGGGAACTTGTGTCTTGAGGGAAAGGCAATAGATGCATTAATAATGCTTCTGAGAAGCAGAAGCATTTTATACAAGGAGTAAATGTGGTAGTGACTGGAAATGGGACAACTGTGGCTGATAATGAAGGGAGATACGTTAGAGACCCAAAAAATAGGCAGCCTCAAGAAACAGCAAGAGCATTCCAAGTGGATGACCAAATGGAGAGGCCTTGTGTTCCACAGATGCAAAAGAAGCCAGTGTGCCATTACAGTAATGTGGGCGACAGATACCAAGAAAAAAGTGGAGCTGCAACAGAGTGGTCTTCAAGTTTAGATCTTGTATAATGGAATTGGGGATCTCAACAGAGACTTGGTATGATCTGAATTAGGAAGAGAACAGATGATAATGGTATTTTTTAAAAGCTTTTTTTTTTCTTTACTTATTAAAGGGCAGAGTTGGAGAGAGGGAGAGCTAAATCTTCCATCCACTGGTGTACTAAGAGGCTGCAACAGCTAGGGATGGGCCAGGAGTTTGTCATTGAGGTCTCACATGGAACTACAGAAACGCGATGATATGGGCTGCTGCTTTCCCAGGT